CGTCCTTGTGTGCTTTATGGTCTCTAGGTCAAGATGCCTATTTGAGCAAAGACTAGTGGATAACGTCTAATACTGAGTGTTCTCATCCGCTGGAAAACTCATTAATCTCTACAGAGACGGGCTCCTAAGTCAACCTACATGCTGAGTGTAATCATTTAAGTGACCATACACGGCAGCAAAATCGTCCTATGAAAATGAACGAAATACAGCCCATGTAACTATTGATTTGAACTTCCTTTCTATTTTTCAGTCCAAATTATCTTCAACATAAAATCTAAAGGACTGTTCGATATTCGAAAGTTTTACTTAGTGAACATTGAATTGCCGAAAAAAATCCTCGTCGATATTCCGACGAAAAAGGTACAAAATTCACTTCAAAAGGACAAACGACCGCTTGGTCTGCTGACCAAGGTTCACCTGCCCCTTCGTGCAAGACAGCTCATGAAAATTTCCAAAGACCGTTCCGTCTATAAGTTTCTTCAAGTGAATTAAGAGGACGTACATATTAAAAGTGTACAAACAACCTGTAGGGAAAAATTAATGTAAGACTTGCTTGCTAGATCGATTAAATTGTACCAACTAACAGGTCCAAAATGTTCTGACTTCTTAAACCTCACTAGGTTTGCTTTGCACTGCGACCGACGTGACTTCTATGTGACTAACTCAACAACTTTTTCAGTTTACAAGCACATTCGAAACAACTGAAACGCTCAAAATGTTTCCTAAAATATCTGAAGTATTTGAAGTCGATATCGACGGGACGCTGCTATTCTTTGATCTGGTCTCGCCATTCACCTTCCCACAACTCCTTAATTTGTCCATCACTGTTACTATTTAAAAACGTAGAAGCTTCCCTCAATGTTCGTCGATAAACAACCTTCTGATAGAAGTCTTAATGTGGAAATTGAAAGCTGCAGGTCTCCTCATAGTTGACTTAGTCATAGCAGCGCCTTGTAGCTACATCTGTTGTAAAGTCACTGCCAGAAAGCCTGTGTTCATGCCTGTCGCCGAGCGCTGTAACTCTAACGTGTAGCAGTCCGTGGTATTGGACCTGGACATCTCGGGACTTTTTGTTTGTGAGCGATGGAGACCGAAGGTCCAAGGACCACTTCCGCAGTCTCTTTTAGAATGCCTGGGATAGTTTTACTACGATTACTCAGCGAGTGTGGACTATCTCATTTGAATCTACGTCGGTATACTTCCTTCGAACGATGGGGTTCAGACAGTGCTGGTCATCAACCTATATAGCCCAACATTCGCGAGCAGAGCAAAAGACTGACCGGACAGATGTAGGAATCTTCGTAGGGATGGAGATGTCATGAGAGGTCCATGAACACTTTCTGATCTATGAGAAAACCCTGTAAATAGCATCCATTTGAGATACAGTGTCATCTTTATCCTGTCCATTTGACAGCAACCTTCCCCGAGGTATTTGGAACAGCTTAGTTTAAGTGGATAACCATTAATTTCGTGTGTGGTGAAGTGGTTTCTATGTTAGTGTATCGTTCTTACGGATATCAATTTTTTCATCCGAATGTCAGTCTATTTTTAGAAATCTGTAGTTTTGTACCCAACTCTTTTCCTTTTTCTTCCGAGAATTGTCCACCTTTCCTTAATAAATCGTTTTTGGTTTTCAGTGAAGTATACTTTATCGGTCGTACGCAATTCAAACCAGTGAGCGTTAGGACCGTTCTTGCCTCCAGCATTGGACACTTAATTCAAGTTCGTGGTATTGTATCTCGCTCAACAGAAGTCAAGCCCCTTCTCCGCGTTGCTACGTACACATGTGATCGCTGCGGAGCTGAAACTTATCAGGTAAAATTCGGTGTATAAAATTTACCCACCGCCATTGCATGTAAGACATCATTCATTCATTCATCATTCATTCATATTTAATATATCTGAACTCATTAGACAACTTCATTCTGTGGATTTAAATGTTATCCTATGCGTTTTATCCTATGTTATCCTATTTCTTTCGAAATATTCGCTTGGTTTTGCATTTTGGTTATTTAGTTTTTTTATTAGAAAAGGTTTGACAGATTTTAATTATTCAATTCACCCAATCGTGAAAATGCTTAGCCTCGATGGGATTCAAATCCACGTCAGCAGGGTGGATTCCATACGTGTGCAGTAGGCTGGGTGAGTAAATCGACTCAAGTGATGATGATGAATTTGCAACGGATCTCGAAACGTCAGGTGAATAAAAGTACTGTCCCAGCGATCGAGTCGTCTTCTTCTCGACTCAATTGTGATTAAATTGATGCCTTTCAGTGTGCCTTCGTAGCTCAATTGGTGGAGTGTTGGCTGCATTGAAGCCTTCGCTGTTGATGTGGGTTCGAATTCGACCGAGGTCGCGAATATTTCATTTTTGCCTCGCATGCTTTTGACGGAATATAAACTGACCTATCGATAAAGAGGAATTTGTACCGTGGATATGAGCACTCACATTTTCAGAAATGCAACGATGCAGTTAAGTTTCATGTTTTTTCTAGTCTCTACCAACTTAACTGGTCCTAAGTCGCATTATTTTTGATTTTCCTTAGGAAATTACCAGTCCCACCTTCATGCCGCTCATTCTCTGTCAAACTGCCGCATGTAAAGGTGCTGGCACCGGTGGTGGTGGTTATCTCCATCTACAAACGCGTGGCTCCAAGTTTGTTAAATTTCAAGAAATCCGTGTTCAGGAGCTCTCTGATCAGGTAAGCACAATGGCTGTTTTACAATTATGCGATTCTATGCTACCCGCGAGGAAATTACTGTGCGTTTTATGCGAGCATAGGTTCCTGTTGGAAATATACCTCGCGGTCTGACTGTATACGCTCATGGTGAAAACACTCGTATTGTACAACCTGGCGACCACGTACTCATCACGGGCGTCTTTTTGCCGGCTCTGCGCGGCACTGTTGCTGGCCGTGCAATAGCTTCCGCGGCGGGTGGTTCTAGCGCTCTTCTCGCCGACACCTTCTTGGAAGCTCATACTGTTGTACCACTGAGCAAAACCGACTCCGTTTTGGAGTCAGCGCCTACAGAGGAGGAAGTTGAACGACTCTCCGGTAAGAAATTTGAGCTCCTTATGAAATATTACATCTGTTCGTAGTTTAGTGTCTTAGGCATAGCGCTTCAGTAAGTTTCCAGTCAAATTGCCTACTTAAAAGTAACAGTAGAGATTATTAATGCAAAACTCTGTGGCTTGTGTTTAATGTCTAATTGTTGACCGTAGACAAGGCCTAACAACGTTTTCAAATGCTCCTTTGTTCAGATCCTGACATGTACACCCTCATGGCGCAGTCACTGGCCCCAGAAATCTACGGCCATGAAGACGTGAAAAAGGCCCTTCTCCTGCTGCTTGTTGGAGGCGTAGAACTTAAACCACAAGCTGGCTTACGTATTCGTGGCAACATTAACATTTGCCTCATGGGCGATCCAGGTGTCGCTAAGTCCCAGCTGCTCGGGTTTGTCAGTCGAGTGAGCGCTCGTTCGCAGTATACTACCGGTCGTGGTAGTTCTGGTGTTGGTCTCACCGCCTCCGTGCTGAAGGATCCATTTACCGGTATGTTTTTTTTCTCTGGTTTCTTGTGCTGTCGCATGTATTGGCATACGCTTGAAACTCAGCGGATTTTTCGGTTTACTATTGCAGGAGAGATGACCTTGGAAGGCGGCGCTCTTGTTCTGGCTGACCAGGGTGTCTGCTGTATCGACGAGTTTGACAAAATGGCTGAATTTGACAGGTACCTGAGATTCCTTTAAAGATTCGGTTTTACGGGCCTAGTTGAATGTTTTTGTATAATAAGTTACTTTATCATGTTTATTTTTGAACAGGACCGCAATTCATGAGGTAATGGAACAGCAGACCGTCAGCATCGCAAAGGCTGGCATTCTGACCACCTTAAACGCTCGCGTTGCACTCCTTGCCGCGGCCAATCCAGCTTACGGTCGTTACAATCCTCACCGCACCGTCGAACAGAATGTTGACCTGCCGGCTGCCCTCCTGTCTCGGTTTGATCTACTTTGGCTAATCCAGGACACACCTGATCGGTGAGTTTCGCTGTAATTTAAAGATGTAAGAAATGTCCCCAACTCCCCACTCTGGGGCCCTACCTCCATATAATACTCGCGTCCACCGTTGAAGCTTGGCTTCATTTCACTGTCTCCGCTTCGAGTGCATTTTTGTAAACTTGTATCAAATGCTATGAGATTGGCAAGAGAACCAGCCAACAAATGTAAGATGAGGAACGGGACGGTCTTCTGTCGTGAAAAGCGGTATATATTGCGGAACCAGCTCTTTTCCAACCGAACCAAGTCTTAAGATTAGCCTGAAAGCGGACTACCTAGTTTGTCACATGATTAACGGTCCCCAGCGATGCCCACTTTCACAAATAACAGTCTCGTATTCTACTAACAGACCTTCATGTAAGGCAGTTGACCTCGCTACCAGTGACCAACCTCTGGCAATCATAAGTTAACAGTAAGCAAATTGCTGCTA